CAAGGTAACATTGTGTGCTGTTCTACGTAAGGCCACCATGAGTCAGAGCTGAGTGTGCTACTAACAGGAAGTCTTTCCAAGCCCTGAGCATGGGTGAAGATAATAAGAAGCTGCCACAGTCACCTTCCACTGAGGTGGGCAGGGGACAGTGCACCATCCCAGGCTCCCGGGCCACCTTCCTTCACTGTGCTCTTCAAATTGTGACAGTTCCAAAAAGGACTGGAAATATGCATCCCCGCCCCAAAAAAGTTTTCACCAATTAAGTAGAATTGAAAAATGAATGGAAAGTAAGTAGAGCTGCTAAAAATTAAGTTCTATATCCTATACATAAGTATCTATACATAGAGGCCTAGAACTCTCAGTGTTTTAAATCAGTCATTTAAAAATATTAATTATTATGCTAATCATTATTATTATAATTATACTGCAAATATTGCTATAGGTGGTAGGGATGATCAGGCAGAATCACTACAGCCCCCCCAGACAAATCCCCCTCAAGCCTGTTGCCATTCAGTTAATAAATGCAGGGAACCCTCTGCTCCATCAGCTTCCTTGACTGTAATCTTCATAAAAGCAGATTACTAGATCAGCTACATATAGTATATACACTGCCAGAGGTGCCACTAGAATCAGTAAAAGCTCCAGATTATCTCAGAGGTTGTTTCATCCACATTTCTAGGCATCATTGTACTGTCTCGTTAACACCAGGTGAATCACTCTGGTTTGAGAAGCATCATTTAAAATAAATAAATAAGACTTTCTGCAAATCAGTGATTATGAGGTCAAAGGCTGAAGCCTTCTTTCTCCCAGTACATCTCTGTTCTCCTTCCATAAATTATTCCCCCCCCCCCCATTTTGTTGTCTCTGCCTTTGGTGGATGTTTTGTAGTGGGTTTTTGTGGGTTTTTTTTTTTTTCAGTTGCATTTAAATGTTTTCTATTATTTCAGCATGAGTAAGATTATGTGTCATTTCAGCGTCCTTTATCAGCTTCTGTCTTCCTTTCATGAAATCTGTTGATGGAGTGTGAAGAAGGAACCACTGTCATTCATTTCCACATTTTATGCTTGTCGTTAGCTCTCGCTTCGAGCGATGCTCTGATCTCTCCCAGGTCTTTTGAGACAGATGCCTGCAGAAATGAGCACCTTGTCTCTTCGCACTCTCATCACACTGATTCAGAGGCAGCAAAAGAGGGGAGTCTTCTCTCATCTCTCTCTGTCTCTCTCTCTCTCTCTGTTTCTCTCTCTCACATTCTCACTCTTGCTCTCTCTTTCATCCACTCACTTACTTCACAAATAGTTAATGAGGAGCTTACTGTGTGGAAAAAACTGACTCATGTACAGGTACCTGGAAGACAAAGGAAAGCACAGACACAGTTCCTGCCTTCTTGGAGCTTACAGCCTGTTGGTGACACTGACTTTTAATCAAATTAACACAGTGATAAAAGTATACTTACTCCTCAGAATTCCTGGTTTAATTGATTTGGAATGGAGCTCAGGCATCTGTACGCCTGGCATTCCTCGCAGATCTGCCATGGCTTGACTTTCTCCTCTTTTTGATGACTTCCTTATTACAGGGTCCTCAGTTGAGACACTTCTGGTTCTTTGTTCTTGGTAGTTCTGAGGTTTCTACCTCTGCTAGCTTCCTCCATTCTTCTTTTATCTCCAGGAGACAAAGATGTTACAGGCCACATCCAGGGGAAACTCTCCTTTCATCAGAGTAGAGCTGTAACCTAATTAAAGATGTTGCAGCCCGTCCTAATCCACTTATAACCAGTGGTCTGATCACTTCTCTGATCATTTCATGGGGAATGATTTTATCATTACACAACTACCTCTAATCTTCCCTCATGAACATCACAGAGATCACAGTGACAACACCTAGCATAATTATGTTATAATGAGGTGGCATTTATTTTGAGTGGACACAACTCCTATTTGTGTGGGTCTATTTTCTGGGTCTTCTGTTTGTTCCACTGATCTGTCCATCCTGCTAGTACCATGCAGCCAGGCTTACTGTAGCTAAATCTTGAAATTAGGTAGAGTTATTCCTTTCATTTAGTTCTTCTCTATAAAAATTGCTTTAGCTATGCTAATTTTTTTTTTAGAATACTTTTGTCCACTTTTGCTCCACCATGGAAAGAATATTCAGGATGCAAGCAAGCATTAGAAAAGGAGGTTGAGGTGTGGCCATACCTGACAGCAAGTAAAATGGTTCCAGTAGGTGCAACACCAAACAAGACTCCTTTTTTTTCTTTTTATTTTAATGAAAGTTTACAGAAACTTTGGATTTCCATTCATATATTGTTGCACTTTTTTCTCCCTACCCACCCCTCCCCTCAGTTCGCTTTTTTCTCTTGGGGAAAAAAAAAATTCTTTCATTGTTAAACAACCCTCCCTGCCCCCATGTCCACTTTACTATGCAGCTCTTATTCTGGACTCTTGTCATGAAAATAATACCTAATAACATATTCCTTTTAAACAGTTCTCTCCCTCATCTGTTTCAATACAGTATACATTATTTATCCTCTCTTATCTTAGGTTCCCCCTAAACCTGATGTCAGTCCCTTTTTACAACAGTGGCACTATGCAGTATTTGTCCTCTTGTGACTGAGATATTTCACTCAGCATAATGTCCTCCAGAGTACCATTTTATATAATAATTCATGAGTTCCTTGTTTTTTAATGCAGCATAGTATTCCATTGTGTGAATATACCAGAGCTCTCTATCCATTTGTTTGTTTATGGGCACTCGGGTTGTTTCCAACTCTATGCTATTGTGAACAAAGCAGCAATAAACACGCAAAAAGAATTAAAAAAAAAGAAAAAAGAAAAAAGAAAAAAAAATAAACACGGGTGTGCATATGTCTGCTTGGGTAACAATTCTGGTTTCTTTAGGGTATATTCGGAGTAGTGGAATTGCTAGGTAAAATGGCATTTCTATGTTGAACTGTTTGAGAAAGTGCCATACAGCCTTCCATAGTGGTTGCACCATTTTACACTTCCAACAACAGTGAATAAAGGGTTCCAGTTTCTCCACAACCTTGCCAGCATTTGTTGTTTGTTGCTCTGTTGAATGTTGATATTCTTACTAGGGTTAGATGATATCTCATAGTTGTTTTGATTTGCATCTCTCTTAGACATGCAAGATTCCTTAACAAGGGGTAAATTTGAAAAGATTTAAAAAAATATGATACCTTCAGATGAACAGTCTGGAGGAATCAGCAACAAAGAGTTGTTGCTGTTGTTAGGTACCATTTAGTCAACTACAACCTGAGACACTATGAACAGACCTGAACTTTGCCCTATCCAGCATCACCCTCATGACCTCTGTCATCCTCAAGCCCATTGTGGCAGTCACTATGTAAATCCACCTTGTTGAGGGTCTTCTTGGCTTTCTCTGACCCTCCACCATTCCAGCATGATGTCTGGCTCCAAGGACTGGTTCCATCTGAGAATACACAGAAAGTAAGTGAAACAAAGTTTCACCATCCTTGTTTCTAAGTACTCAGGCTGCACTTCCTTCAAGATGTATCTTTTGGCAGTCCATGAGATATCCAATACTCTTCAACAACACCACAACTCAAAGACATTAATTCTTCTTTTGTTATCCTTAATCACTGTACAACTTTCAGATGCATAGGAAGTAACCGAAAATATCATGGCTTGGATAGTACACACCTTAATCTTTAAACTGACATCCTTACTCTTTAGAGAGGCCTTTGACAGCAAATTTCACCAATGCAATGTGTCTTTTGAATTCTTGACTGCTATTACCATGGGTGCTAATTGTGGATCCAAGTAAAAATGAAACCATTGACAACTTAAAGTCTTTTCTCCATCTACTATGTTGCCTATTGGTCCAGTGGCAAGGATTTCTATCTTCTTGATGTTTAGATGTAATCCATATTGAAGGCTGGAGTCTTTGATCTTTTCAGTAAATGCTTCAGGTCTTCTCCACTTTCTGCAAACAAGGTTGTGTCATTTGCACAAAGCAGAATGTTGACCAATCTTCCCCCATCCTGATGTCACATTCTTCTTCATTATAGTCCATCTTCTTGAGTGATTTTTTTCAACATACAGATTCAATAGGTTTTAAGAAAGGATATAACCCTTTCCTTTCATTAAGGAGTAGAGCACTGAAATAGATAGGAAAATCTGATGTCAGACTCTGGCTGATAGAGATTGTCATTGCTTATGTAAAAAGAAGGGGGGGAGTAAATTAAAATACATTTATAAGAAAGACAATAAATAAAATTAATTTTTTAAAATGTATGCCAGTCAGGCAGCAAAAGTGGTTGTAGTGCTATATGAAATTCACCAGGCAACATTAAGAGTAAAGGAAAAAAATGTTTAAAAAAAATTAAAAGTAAAGAAAATTATCATAAACTCATTCACAAATAAAATATGTTCACCTGATACAATTAGGAAATATACAATTTAAGTTAGATCAGGAACCATATTTTAAATACTAAAATTATTATTAAACAGAATTGTATTTTTAAAGAAAATGCTTTCATGATTAGTCATGCATGGTGTCATGGATATGTGTCCCTCAAATAAGTGTTTATTTGGCTGGGACACAATCATGAAAGAATAGAGAAAACTAAGCAGAGAGGGAAGGACTTCAGTGCCATCAAGAATGAAGAACCAGAAGCAGAGTTCATCCTTTGCACCTATGCCTCCTGAATGTCGCATCATCAAGATCCAGGAAGACATTGATGCCAAGACACATGGAAACCTCCAGGGAATACTAAGACAGATTTTATCCTTTCAGCATCTGAAAGGTTTTTTGGTTCCTCCAGAACCAAAAGAGCGAGAAAACTACTTGAGCCAAATCCTGAACTTGGACTTGTAGTCTCCAGAATACTAATAATACTAATAATAATATTCTAGATGTCTACTGTGTTCTTAATAGCACTAGGTAACTAAGGCACACAGCTTCTTCAATTATTGACATTGTCAATAAATTCAGTTATTGACGTTATTGTCATGTAATTTGTTATGTCTGTGAAGCAAGACTTCACATTTCTGGCTCTACAAACCACCTTCAAAGGTAAGAAAAGTGCATATACCAGGGTCTCATTCTTAGAAGTCTTCATTCCATTAGCTTGGAGTAAGACCCAGGTCCGGATATTTATTTTCAAGAGCGATGTCACAATTCACTGGCTACTTGAAATGGAAGCATTAAGTTTAAGAGGACATTATCAGACGCTGTGGAGTTGCTGCCAAACATTTAAAGCTCTGAACCTTTCAAGTTCACAACCTTGGCTGCTTTGTCAATCCGTTGAAGGCTTATAAAAATCTCAAGGTTTAGACTGCACCCCAGACTAATTAAATCAAAACCTCTGGAGGAGGTATATAGGCATTGGCTTTACAATATATGTGGCCAAGGTTAAGAACCGTGACTTTGAGAGGGGAAAGGCTGCTATTAAAATGTCCGGGATGAATGAGAAGAGCAGATGTTTAGATCTTTGGTCCTTAGAAATACAGATCAAATGTTTAAACATCCTAGTGTTGCTTCAGTTCTGTTGTCTGTCAGTGTTCACCTAAAGTTTATGAAAAGAAGCTTGTTGCTTAAGGTTACTGGTTATTTCAACACTTAGAATCTGAGATAAAACAAACAAAAGGCCAAACACAAAATCCTGTTGCAACTGAATCAATTCGACTTCATGTGACACAGAGTAGAACAGCCCTCCAGGGTTTCCAAGGCTTGAAGCCTTACAGAAACAGATTGCTACATTTTTCCTCCTCAAGATACCCACTGAATAGATAAATAGTATCCAACATACAAGGAATCTATTTCAAATCCAGTAAGATTTGTTGTGGCGGAGTTATAAAGCAGGGTCATTTTGGGATGACTCAAATGGACCAAAAAAAACCCCACCCCAAAAAACCCAAAACCAAAACCAAACCACACCTCATTGCCATCATTCAGAACCTACTGATTACTGACCCTCCAGTGGGTTTTCAGAGGCTATACCTTGCAGGTGACACTGGTCTCATAAGAAATTATTATATTGAGGGCAGTGGAGCTGAGCGGCTGTACAAAAGTGGCTCAAGATGATTCCAGAGGACTTGGATCTCAGCTAAAAGATAGCACCCCAGTAACTGAACTATCAGCCAGTGGCCCTTTTGAAAGCCATGATCTTCTTTGGAAAGGTTTTTCTTGTGAACTTTTGCCCCGTCATCCTCTTGAGCTATCAGAAAAAAAGTTCCAGCTCAACCAAGATAAAATGAACTTTTCCACCCTGAGGAACATCCAGGGTCTGTTTGCCCCTCTGGAGCTGCAGATGGAGTTCAAGGCCGTGCAACAAGCTCAGCGTCTCCCATTTCTTCCAAGTTCAAACCTCTCACTTGATATTTTGAGGGGGAATGATGAGACAATTGGATCTGAAGATATTCTTAATGATCCCTCCCAAAGCGAAATCATGGGTGAGCCGCACTCGATGGTGGAGTACAAGCTCGGTTTGCTGTAGAGCGACGCTGGCAGCACACCTGAAGGCCGCAGGGCGTCCAGATCTGTCTGCTTGGCTGTGTGCAACATTAAAAGTACTGACACACTAAAAAAAAAAGAAATTATTATATTATAAGTTAGCAAAAAAATAATGGAGGACAGTATTTTACAGTGTTAGAATGGGAAAACAACTATGGGCTATCATCTCGGCTGGAATTCGTGTTCTGTTTTCAGCTTTGCAATAATTTAAACTATTTTAGTCTGTGATACAGTAAATATTTAGATTAAGTTCTTTAATTAATCAATCAATAAGACTTGAAGAAAAACATACTCTGTTATGTCAAATGAGATAATGGTTACCCATGGTAGACAGTGTTTGGTGGAGCTCCCAGATTAAAACGAGCTTGGAAGCAGGAGTTGCATCCACTTCTGAAATTACTTGCTCCCAGAAATCCTATGAACTTGAAGAAACCATGAAAGTTAAACAAGTGTTTAAGTCTTTCGTTCACAGGGTCACTATGAGTCATCTACGACTTGACAGCACTTAACAACAACAACATAATGATGAGACTGTCCTTTCTCCTCCCTCAGAGATGCTGTAGACATAAGAAATTTTAATGCTATATGGTGCCACTGTTGTAGAATGAGGCTGGCATTGGGGTGGGGGTAAGACTGAGAAAAGCTGGATGAAATATGTTTACGGCATTGAAGTCTATGTGGGAGAGAATAGTCTAAAAGTATTATATTTTAGGGCATTATTTTTATCGTAGGAGTATGCAATGAGGGTTGCAGAGTGGATTATATTTGGGGGTAGGGGGTGGGGTTTGGGGAGGTGCGGGGGGGGGATTGTGTACCAATGAGGGAGTTTTTCTTTTGCTTTTCAAGGAGAGGAGCAAAGCGGGGGGAGAGGGGTTTGTGCGGGGAGAAGGGTGCAACAATGAATGAATGGAATTAAAAAAAAAAAGAAATTTTAAGATTTTTTTACTATCTGCTTATGCAATTAAAGGGCAGTCGATCGTGAATGTTTGAATAATTTTCCCCAAAACTTTCAAGGCAAGGAAGTAACAACCTAACCTAAGAAAATGTGGTGGTTGTTGTCATGTGCCCTCGAGTCCACTCTGACTCATTGCCATCCTGTGTACAACAGCTCTGAACCCTGCTCTGTCCTGAGCCAATGTTACCATCTCTGACACACCCACCCCCCTTACCTTAGTTGCTGAGTCAATCCACTTCATAGAGGGTCATCCCCTCCTGCGCTGTCCCTCCACCCTCCCAAGCATGGTGTCCCTCTCCAAGGACTGGTCCCTCCTTACAACATGTCCAAAGTAAACTATAGTTATCTGTTAATAAGAATGTATCAATATTGATTTATCAATAACAAATGTGCTACAGGAATGCAAGATGTTAGTAATAGCAGAAATAGTGTGTGTTAGAAATAGAAGTACTCTGTGCTTTTTGTACAATACTTGTAAATTTTAAAAACTAATGTCTATAGAAAAAAATGAGTTCTGGTGGTGTAGTCTGTAGAGAGTTGCATTAATATCTCAAAGGCTGTGCTGCTCTGTTAGTTCAAATCCACCTTTGATCTTCAGGAGAAAGATGGACAATCCTTCTAATGTGGTTTGCAGCCCTGGAAAACCTCTGGAGGGTCAGCTAGGGGTCTAGATGGACTAGCCAGCACTGAAAAGAGAGAAGGGGCAGAAAAAAGGATGTGTATTGGGGTGAGGGTGGGAAGGCAGTGGCTTGATCAGATTATGCTCATCTGTTTTTATTAGGAACTCTGGTGGCCTAGGGGTGAGGAAGTGTGCTGCCCACCAAAACCCAGAGGGTTCACATCCACTGGCTTCTCTGAAGGAGAAAGATGGATATCTCTTTCCTCGCAATTTATGACCTCTAAAAACGGGCTGGAGGGTCTGATTCCAACTCTCTGGCACTTAATAACATTTTTTCCTTAGCAGGATTGTGTGTGTGTGTGTGTTAAAGGCACCCCCTTCCAAGCACATTTGCATTAAGAGTTTATTGTTCTTTATTATTATTGTTATTATATATAGGGATAGTTGTACCATCAAGGAAGTAAGTTACAATGATCTTGAATCAGTGCGTTTGACTGTACTCCCAGATAGTCATTACATAGACTTATACCTTCAAGGGAAATAAATAGCTACTTAAAAATGTGTTTGAATCTAAAAAAAAAAATATTAAAAAAAAGTGTTTGAATCTGTTAAAAGGAATTTTATTTTATTTTAAATATGAGAAGCTGGTCTCTGCAGATTCTAGAATTTTAGATTTAGAGGGAAGCCCTGCCAGGCAGAGGATCACAAACTCGCCAGGTTGACAGTGATGTCGCGGAGATGGTGGACACAAATGTGACAACCCGATGAGCTCTTTCACTTAACAATTCAATCCATCGCACATTTGGTCTCACACAGACTGAGAAGTCTAGATGATTGATGACTTGTGTCAATTACAAACCAGATTTCATGTTTTTCTTGGTTTTACTTTGAGAAGATGCCATCTTGAAAAGAATCGAGGAAACACTTCCTCAGAGAGACAGTTCTTTTGAAGTGGGACAGTGTTAAGGAAGTTAATTTGTATTAATGTCAATCTATTTAGACAGGTTGAACATTTCAATCTGAGCATTTAATAATTAAATTTCCACTGCCTTCTCTCTAATAAATTGTATTCATTATTTCTCTTATTAACCCATAGGGAGTTTTGGTGGCTTAATGGTAGGGAACTGTGCCACGAATGCAAAGGTATACGGTTTGAATCCACCAGCTGCTTCTGGCAATCTCTTCATATATAGTTTTTTGCCTCTGAAAATCTTCTGGAGGACATGCCATGGGCTGGTTCCAACCTGATGATATGTAACAACTTAGCATTCTATGACTTCACTTCCTCCACCAAACTTCCCTTCCTCCCAGGGGGCTGATCCCAGCGCCTAAAACCCTAGCGAATGTCCCTATTTGGGGAAAAAAGCCCTCTCACACCCTTTGCACTCTGGTATCTGCCATCACAATCTCAATTGCTATGCTGTATGCACTAAATTATGTCCTCCAAAAAGGTACCTTAAAGTCTTGACTCTAGTAGCTACGAAGTTTTAACCTCTGTGACTCTGTTTTGAAATAGGCATTCACGGCTCCCACCTCTCACTCTATGTCCACTGCCACCTTTTCTTTTTTAGATTCACTCATTGCTGTACTGCAGTCCTGAAGGCATGGGGTTTGAGACCACCAGTGGCTCTGAAGGAAAAGGATGGGCAATCACCTCCCCAGCAATTAACTGCCTCTGAAAACACCCAGAGGGCCAGCTCCAGGTCAGTGCTGGCTCCACAGTACACAAGAACATTGCTGTCAAACCAGAATTGGCTCCTGGCTGACCCTCCTTTGGGTTTCTGAGGCTGTAAATCCCATGAGAGGAGCTGCATGGCATTTAGGTTAGCAGTGAAACTCCCTAGGGATGACACCAGCAGGATGAAAAAGGTCATAGAAGAGTAGGGTCGGCCTTAAATCCCATTCCTCTGAAGGGTGTTTTAGAGAGGGGACTACAGAAACAGATTCAAATGCTGGATGGGGGTCCATCTAGACAGAGACAAGGGGAAGGGCAGACAAGAATCTGACCTTCTCCTATAACAGACACACTATCCCTGCCACAACTCTGAACTTAGATTTCTAGTCTCCAAAACTGGGAAATGATAAATTCCTGCTCTTTAAAGCCACTCATTTTGGGTATTTTTTTTTAAATTTAGTTTGTTTATTTTTCATTTCAATGAACATCTTGAGAGATTTTGGAATTCCATTCATTCATTGTTGCACCCTTCTCCCCGCACAAACCCCTCCCCTCCCATTTTGGGTATTTTTATTACGACAGTACTAGGTATCCAAGACTGGTATTATGGGTCACCTCAACAGCACTGCTATTTGAGAGCAATACATTGAATGAGTTTGTCAAGATGCACAATGAAGAGATAAGACGTAACTACAGAAGAGTGCCCGGATGAAGCATGACAGAGAAGGCGGGAGGAAAAGCAAAAGACGCATGGTAGGATGCCAACAATAAAATGAGTAAAACTGAGCAGGGTGGAGGACAGCCATAGAGGCACTTGGTGGGGGAAATTGTCAGACAGGAAGTGACTGAAGGAGTGAATTGTTGGAGCAGCCCAAGGAAGGAGCAAATGGGGAAAGTGTCTCATTTCCCCCTACAAACCTCAGAGCTCTGAAGGTTTTCAAGCAATGGTTTCCAAGAATCTCCCAGGTCCACCGGGAGCTGCCGCTAAGCAAGGCTCCTGGGGGTTCAGCACTTTCCACTGTGATCAGTTCCATCCTGCTCCACGCTGCTGGCTCTTTGATCCGTCCTTTACTCCTTCAGAAATTCTGGCTGAAGGAAACCACTATGCATGCAGCAAATGTTCCCTTCTTTAGGTGTCTCCTAGGAGGCCTAGGGGTGTAGCATGCAAGCATTTGACTGCTAACCAAAGGGCTGATGGTTCAAATCTAATAGCCACTCCATGGAGGAAAGACATGGTTGGTTGCTTCCATAAAATGGTCAGTGTTTATGGCCTTGGTGACCCTGAGGATCAACTCCACTTTTTCACTGTGAGGCGGAATCGACTTGAGAGCAGTGGGCTTTTCTTTTGTTTTCAGTTTTCTGCTTACTAATGATTCCACCTACAGTTTTCAACTCTGTCATCTCCATCCCTCAAAATCTTCATTAACAGTTCAACTGTGGATGAATTAGCAAATGACTGCATGGAGACATCAGCACAACCCTGATCATGGCAGAACCCAGATTCTCAAGGCCCTCTGCACTCTGCCTGCAGAAAGGTCTCTTTAAAGAAATATACCAAATAAATTCTGGTAGCCTAGTGTTTAAGGCGTTGTACTGCCAACCCAAAGATAAGTGGTTTGAATCCATCAGGTGCTCTGCAGGAGAAAGACAGATATTTTTCTCTTTCTGCAATTTATGGTCTCTGAAAATCCACTGAAGTGTCAGCCATGATTCAGTTTTGACTGGACAGTACAT